GGATTTACCCGGCACGATTTTGAGAAAATGGAACTGTTGGCCCTCTGAGTAAGCCTGCACGGGCGGAAAAGGAACCTCTGAGATGTCAACGGCGAACTGCTGACGGCCCTTCGACCTTGTTCGCAGAAGTGTTAGCGGTACCTCTCGCTCTACTCGAACCCGCGACATCTGTGGCTGCCGGTCTGGCTTCATCTGATGGAAAGGGAGTTTCCCGCCCTCATGTTGAATGGAAAAAGCCAAAATCTGCTTATACGCGTCTTTACGGTGTTGAACTTCCTGTTTTTCGATTGCGTCCGCGAGTTTTTTCACAGCAATGGCGATGCACTCAATGTCCTGCACGGTTGGCAGCACGGTAACCCGGAGATCTGCCAAGTCAGTGTTCTTTACTGCCCACACAAGGAAATGGTCCCCAAAACCACGAGATCTGGCGACACTGATCCAAAGCCGCTGCATCTGGACACAAATGGACTCCGAAGGCGTGGCTTTAGACATTTGCTTGAGATTTTGGAGTCTGCGGCACTGACGCATTATTTGTCTGGACTGAACACTAAATGTGGCCAAAGCGGGCTGGTAATCACCGCATCTGCCTTTGCGTGGGGCACGTGGCAACTGCTTCTGCTTGAGCTCTGGTCGATTTCCTCGGCCAAAAAAGCGCTTGGGGGCATGGAGCCCCGCCTCCCGGATTTGGTCTGCCATAGACTGCTCCACTACTTGACACCAAATAAGGAAGGGGTCGTGCCCCGCCTCAAGTTGCCGAAGGTCACCAAATCCTTCAAAGCATTCCCTTACGTGCTCACCTACCACTTCAGGCTCAATGACTTCGAGTTGCGCATGAGACAAATTGCGAGGAAGATTCCACTGGCTGCGGAAATCCGGCACGTGCTTTGTTTCAAGTTGGATCCAAATCGGGCGGTGCCCAGGGAAAGGTGAGTCACACTGGACTCCACAGTCCTTCACTGCGTGCACCAGTCTGGGATCCACCAAAATGGTGTCAGGTGATGTCCCAACGGTGTTTCCCGTGAAGGTGGGGGCAAGGGTCTTACCAAACTTGTTGAAACGCTGCACCAACCCCGCGCTTCCATCAGTTTCCAGGCCATTCTCAGGTACTTGATTTAGGTCGCCTAGCACGATGGTCGGTCCGTACCAGGACGCGACACAGGCCCACACATGATCCATGATCATGTCATTTAGGGCAGCTCGGTTGCTGCACGGCGGTACAAGGTAAACACTGAGGATTTGCACGTCAATTGATCCAAGTCTGACAAAACCGGCGCACACCCTTGTGGTCATGAGGAGGTCCTCATGAAGCACATGTTCAGCAGATCGGATGGGCAGCCTACTCAATATAGCTGTTCCGCCCCAGCGCGGACCCTGGAGGGCCTGTACGGTCCGCGCACGGCGACCATGGCGGAGCGCCTCGGCATCTCCCCGTCCCCCTGCGAGAAGCTCGTGCCCTTCCTCGGCATGCACGTCGAGGAGGGCGTGTACGGCAAGCGCCTCAAGTTCTTGCGGGACGTGCTGGGGGCCAGGGTCTGGAGGCTGCACAGAGCCTACCGCTTCGCCTGCAGCCCCTTCATGGCCGGCTTCATGGAGCTCAAGCACTGCGAGCGGAGGCAGCTCAAGACGGCGGGGAACGTGGTCGCTAGGAAATAAAAGCCCAGGCGCAAAAGGATCATCTAAAAGCGTGGTGCTCAACCACACGGCAATGGAGATTTTGATGATGACCCCATGATGGTATGGCTGAGCGTATTTGTGTGCATTCTCTTTGCACCATGGTCGGCCGTGCCCTTTTGCCCGTCTGATTCGGTTGATGTCCGGTGCACGCGTCGGTTTGGGGGGTTCTTCCGGTTGGGGTCAGCCGTCTTGGTCGGTTGGTGTAAGCTGTACGCCACCGCGGCTGCAAGACCGCCGACGTGACTTTGACTGCCAGCCCCCATCGCAGATTTATCACCAGTGTCTGCACTCGGGGTCCCATATCATGGCTCTGGTTTCCGGATTGGGGAAGCGTCACATCCAAGGCCTCTCGTGATACGAATAGGGACAGCGAACGTCACAAAACTTGATGGTAAAGGGTATGAAGTCACTTTGTTGTGCAGTGTGCCCTGTTTTTTTTGGGGCTAACTGAGACGAGTTGCACTCTCCAGGAACAAGCTCCGCTTAGACGATACTTCAAACTAGTGAAATTGGAGTTCCATTGCAGCAAGCCATGTGGCCATCGTGCCCGCACGCGTGACCGTTCTCAACTTCCACTGTACGGTGGGGTTGCAGCCGTTTGTAACCTCACCTGTCGAAATCATTCGGCCGCTCTTCCGGCTGGAATGCAGTTTTCCACTAGATTGCTGCGGACCTTTTGTAAACTAGGCCATTTGGACATACTTGTCATTACTGTCTACATTCCCCCCATTGTGGTGGGACCAGATGCGGAGGAAAGAGACGGACTTAGGTCTAGCTTGATGCAGTGTGCTTTTGTGTCCGCTGTGGAGTGGCCCGGTGCTTGTGCGTGCAACCAGTATGAAGTCGGTCCCACCTATAGAGAATCGGTCAGGCATGAGGCAATTTTGGTGTGCCCGTCTCTCGTTTCCAAATTCCAGATGCAATCCAGACGCAAGCTGTGTCAGCGCAGAAGAGCGACAGCATTGGCATCCGCGCCCGCATCACGTTTCCAACCTATATTCCGCGGAGCTTGCGTACCCCCAGGTTGGAATGCAACTTGAATGCAACTGGATGATGAAATCTGCAAGGCCAGTAGGGTGCCACGATTTGGCGAACATCATGTCATGTTAACATGCATCCACCCATACACATGTTTAAGGCACTTAACATTTTCTGGTTCCAACCGCTATGCTGCACTGGGTGGCCACGCGGGCAGGTTCCGCCTATATGCGCGACATTTGGTTGGCTTTCAACATTGCTGAATATTCACACAGCATACCCGTGGTTTAAGCCTGTCATCTCTAAGCAACACCTAACCAAAAAAGCTTTGCGCGTTAGCGCTTGTTTGTCGCATGTTCCGGTTTCGCTTAAAGCAGTTCACCGAATTCGAGCTGGTTGAATCTTCGGCCGCGTTGCTTCGAGCATTTTGGGAACATGTTCTTCAGGGTTTGACCCTCTCTTCGATGCCCATCCCACCCTGTTTCCATCCATCCCATCTTGAGCCTTGGATGACAAGAGCTTAGCGTGCGCACGCATGTTCAGCTGCTTAGCATAGTAGCCTTTCCATTCGGATTTGCTCGAAGTTATTATGTTAGCAAGATCCTTTTTCTGCCTTTCCTGCACTATCTATTCGTTTCTTACGCCAGTAGAACACACCTGCTGCAGTGAGGTCAAGCACGCCTGGGGGCATGCAAGCAGGCTCCGCACGGAATGCAGATGATGTGAATTGGACACTCCATTTGCATTCTTGTGTCACCTCTGAGCAACACCTGATAAAAAAGAGCTGAGCGCCGCTTCGCGCATTTAACTTGTTTTGTCGCATGTCCCGGTTTGGTTGGAAGAGGTAAACATAATTCTAACTGTGGAGCTGTTAGAAGTTTGTAAGGGAGTGAGTGAGAGTGAGTGAGTGTGAGTGAGTGAGTGAGTGAGTGAGTGAGGGAGGGAGGGAGTGAGTGAGTGAGGGAGGGAGGGAGGGAGGGAGGGAGTGAGTGATGAGTGAGTGGGGGAGTGAGGGAGTGAGGGAGGGAGGGAGGGAGGGAGGGAGGGAGTGAGTGAGTGACTGAGTGAGTGAGTGAGTGCTTCGTGCGGCCAGAGACTTGGCTTAGGGTTTAGGGTGTCCGCAAATTTCCGGGCGGCTGCTAACAACAAGCCAGTCCGACCACCCCGCAAGCCAATCAGGCAATCTGACAGCCACAAGTCAGTTTGACTTTTTACAAGTCATTCTCACCACTGGAAAATGGAGCAAGCCAATCTGACCAATCCTCACAAGCCAATGTGCGCTGTTACAGCGCAGAACATCTCGTGTAAAACATGCAAAATGAGGGCGCGCTCTGGCAGTGGCTCAAACAGGCGCCGCAAACAAACTTCTTGGGCCAAACTTCAAGGCTTTAGGGTTTGAGATCCTCCAGCAAAATCAGCAACTCGAGCCCAACTTCGCATCTCCATCAAAATCCGCATCATCCAGCAGAATGCAACTTGAGCCAAACTTCGCAAAAATGCAGCAAGATCAACATCATCCAACAAGTCAGCATGTCGGGCCAAATTCGCATGATGCAACAAGATTCGAGCCAAACGTCGCAGCAAAACTTGCAACTCGAGCCAAACATTTTTTTTTCCCCTGCCGGCTCATCCTCGATCCACTGCATTTCCCTCTCTTGCTTCTTGGCGTAGCTTGTAAAAATCCCATCTGTCTGCTTTCCTCCCCCCCCCCAAAAAAAAAAAGAGCGGGGAGGTACTTGGTTTTCCTGCCACCTTGTGGCCGCTGGACATTTATTTGCTGAAAACAGGTGTTTAGCGGTCTTTGCTGCTTCCACCTAACTATTTCTGTGTGTGCACATTCTTCGGATTTCCCTTTGTCTTCTTTTTTCACTGGTCTTTTTTGGGTAGAATCCCTCTGCACCTCTCACGGGCAGTTATTTTGTTCGTGGGCTTTGCGAGGTTTGTGCCATGTCTGAAGCCGTCCGACCCAATTTGTGGGACTACACATTTGGCCAAACCTGAACGATGGCGCGAAGAGTCTGTTGGCCAAGAACCCGGTCCGGTTCGAAACCTGGACTTGATTTCCGAACGCCGAGATTCCGGTAGGTGGTTGGTGGTGGGCGTTCAACAGGAGTTCTTTTGGTGCGATGGTGCCTAGAGTCATTTGTTCAAAGTTTATCGCATGGACTGTTCATTTGGCTCGAATTCATGGTACGGCGTCAAGCTGCTCATGAAATTGCGCAGGAAGCCTAAGAAGCTCCAAAAACACACAGTCTTTTTTAGGCTTCCTTGCGTCACTTGGTTGTCGTGAATGATCTTGTAATGAACTGAAAGAGTGGAGGTTCCTTGTTTCAGCCAAATCCTGGCCCCATTGGTCCTGGGATATTTGTGCTTGGCAAGAGCCATGGTTCCTTCCAGACAGCGGCTGAGGCTGTTGGCCAAGGCACGCTTCAAGCATTCACGTCATGTTACACGGTCTTGACGTTTGCCAGCCTCCGATTTGGGCGCTATGCTTGCCGTCCTGTGCCAGGGCCAGCCCACCCGTGCCACTGCACGGGGGCAGGGCGCGAGTGCTCGGGGCCGTGGCCGGGGCGGGCGGGGGCGGGGCGCGCACTATCCAGGCGCGATGCGGATGCGGAATGGTCATTTGAGCAGGGCTCCTTAACAGATACATTTTGCAACCATTTGAAACATGGCTTTTTCCACCAAGATAAAGGGAAGCCACCATTTACAAGGCAATGTTCAGGTGTATAATGCAAGGATTTTTGTTGAGTTATTTGCTCAAAACCGATTCGGGCAGATGAAGGTTAGCAAGGGAGAGGCCCAACCATGGGTGCAGCCGCCTGCTTAAATTCTTGGCATGTTTCCGGGCAGACCATTTTAATGCCAGGTTTTGATTATGACTCATTTGGCTGCACCTCCCAGGTTGAGAAACCCAGGAGTGAATATTTGGCCAGCAGGGATGCCTTTTACCTCCATGGATTGTATATCAATTCAGTTGATGTCAGACAAGCCCGGCCTTCATGTTGCCAGCCCAAGGGCACCAATGCGAGCAATCACTTCGCCGCTGGCTCAAGTTGCGTTCACGTCCTGAGACTTTGGGAAGCTGCGGAAGCTGCTTGGCTGCAGTGCTATTGGAAGCATGGCTGAAATGGAGCCACTGGGCTCGCAGTTGAATGTGCTCCGAGTCACCTGGAGCCAAATGCGGACTAAGGGCCGGACGCTGAGGCGTCGCCGGAGGCTTGGGGCAAAGCGTGGTCACATTGGACAGCAACAAGAATGTCAGGGCGAAAAAGCAACGATGTGCTCCATTCGCGTAGGACTTTTGGAGTGCGCTTCGGCCAGGTCTCAGCAGACAGGATGGCACAGGGGCCATCCTGTTGGAATGGTTTTATTGACTCGTGGGCCATCTTGCTTCGACGAATCATGCAGTGCGGATTTGGGGATTTGGGCCAGGCGATGGTGACCAAAAGTGCCGTGATCGGCATTGACCTGGGTGCAGATACCTCCTACGTCGGCTATGTCGGCAAGGCAAGGGGAATGATGTAGAAGGCCCCCCTCACCAGAATCGACGCTTTTCACCAAAGAATGTAAGACAGATTAAGGTTGATCCTTTTTCATGGAAGATATGGAAGCACATGACCCAGGGATAGTGTATGCTTTGTTTGCATCTGGAAACAATTTGCCTCGAGGGGATCGTGGACATCTGCCAAAACGAGGCGCTGGGCTGGATGCTGGGCGACAGAGAAATCCCACCTGCCTTCGAGTCGTGCCATCAGAATATGACTTTCTGTGTGAAGCCAGCTTTGATTTCCAGAAGGGCACGGAAGACCAGGAGTATCACAAGAGAAATCCCGATCCTTGGCCGGTCTCCGGGAAGGCATGTGAGGCACTGCCCATAGCTCCGCCCCGAAAAGGGCAGAGAGCGCAGGTCTCTCGGCGAGAAACTCCCAGCCTGGCATGGGCCCCTAGCTTCGGGGGAAGGACGGCCTTCGGCCTTCGAGCGACAGGCGAGCTGTTCGAAATGGAGCCCACCCCCGGGTGCCACCCCCCCAGCAGCCAGCAGCCAGCGCCCCCAAAAATTGGCGGACGTTTTTCGGGTTTGGGCTCTGGTTTGCTTGTGGCCGCGGTCAATGGGTTTTCGGCGCAGATGGACTGGCGAGTTGGCTTCACAGTTCTGAGCAACTCATTTGCGGGACTGGTCAAAGCAGTGCAGTTTTCGACCCAGAAGGAGGAAACATTAGGCAACCACGTCCAAGCCACGCTGATTCTCCAGCTTGAAATCTGCACAAGAGAAACCAACATCTTCAGGTGATGTGTTTTGGTCCCACGGATGGAAGGTCTCAGGATGCTTGCCTTTGCCATGGCTTCTTTGTCTTCGCGCCGTTGTTTTGAAAGGAATCGGCCAAGATGAAGCCAGAACTTTCCCAAAGTAATGCTCCACATTTGGTCCCAACCGCCAGCCGCCCAACAGCAGATAACACCCATCAGCAAGAAGCACGCAGCCATAGGCACTCCAAATCATGCAAGAAACCTAATGGAGAAGCAGGCCTCGGGCGACCCTCACAGCGTTCCTGAACTCGTACCCGCAAATCAAAGGGGATTTTTTTTTTATTGCGATTCGGGCAGGCAGCCGGAGTCTGGTGTGAAAGTGTTGAAGTCTTTGAGCAAGTTCCGATCCAAAACACCCAACGCCTCAAAACCTTCGTCTTGGAAAAAGACACTTAACTCCAAAGAATCCCCCCACCTTACAACATTTCCTTCTCTTTGAAACAAACTCACCTGGGTGTGGCTCAAAGTTAAAGAGCTAGGGCAAACAGCGGGTTGTAGTCTTTGTTTCCACTTACCCCTTGGTATCTCAAGCTGCTTTTTTTTGGGGGGGTCACATACTTTTGAGCCACAGCCACCCCCCGGAAAAGATCCTTCGCCGCGGCCTTTCGTTTTTTCCTCGCCCGGAGAGCCCGCGTTCTCCCGGAGAGCGAGGTGGGCTTCACGGACCGGGAGCGGCTGCTGGGCGACAGCGCCCTGGCACTGGTGAAGTCCAACGCAAAGCGCCGCGGCCGCGAGACATCGGTCGAATCCCCCGGCGAATTGGGCGAGGCGTCTGGCGGAAAAAGCGTCGTCCCTTTTTTGTTTTTCTTCACCCCTCTTTCTTCTTTTCCTCTTTTTTGCTTTTCTTTATTTATAGCAGCAATATTTTTTGTTGTTTCATTTGTGTTACATTGTGTTCTTTCCGTTTGTGTTTTTGGATGAGCATACGCATCCTCGTGTTGCTGGTCGATGTTTGACTTCCTTTGCGGTCCGCAGTCCATTTGCTGCAGAGCTCTAGCCAACATTGTAAGAAAGAGATGTCGCAGCTACCTTCTCCTTTGTTGATTTTCTTTTAGTGCCTAAGCATGCGTTGATCGGGCTCAGCTGCATAAATGTCAGATGAGCTCCGATGCATTGATTTCAAAGCCATGAGAAACTGTGAACTGTGTGTTAAACTGGACAGTTCAGTGATGTTGCAACAAATGCTCCCGAATGATGCATGACTTCCTTGCCTCGCCCAGGAACACTTGCCCGAGCCTTAAACGCCGGGTTGGCTCATTTTGGGTTTTCTTTCAAACTCTCAAGAAGGGTGCTTGGTTTCGAGACAATTCTGCAGAGCTTGGCGCAAAGCAGTCGTTTTCGTGGCAGTTGCAGGATGGCTCTTGCCAAGGCAGAAACTTCAAGCACCTGCTGGGTCAGAAGAGAGACTCCCCCATGGTCAAAGACGAGGCAGGGATACGGCAAAGTGGAGGTCAGAAAAATCAGGGATTGGGTTAAGGCCGGCTTCTCGGATTCAGAACGAGCCGCTGCAAGCATTTCGAGCCACTGACGTGTCCGGGATGTTTAGGGCAGGTACGCATTGTGGGTAGCTACAGAAGGTATTATAATTTGCCCCAATAGCAGTCTCCAAACACGGACCCGCAGGCAGAGAGGGTATCATATTTTTTGGGTTTTGCCTCTGCGCAGCGGGAGCTTTTGGCGAGGAGTTCTGGTCGACCTCCGAGATTTGCGACTGCCCGGTACGCCTGGCTCTTTGTTGTTGGTGAGAGGAGAATTCGGATTATCAGTGGTGTGAAGGCGACCAGGCATGTCAATGGCGTTTGGAGGCAAGATAATATGGTCTTCGTGTGATTTATGAACCACTGCTTCAGAGAACGATGGGACCACTCTTGCATTCCTTGACAACTAGCAGGCATGTGTGCCTTTTTTGAATCTGGCTGACATTCCTCGCCAGGATGGGTCCTTGGGGTACCAGGCTGGGCATGGCCCATGCTGAAGGGAAGGACCAAATTTACTCTCGATGAAGTTGCCCCTGTGCAAACATGTCGGGCCGATATCAGTTGATTGAGCTTCCTTCTAGCGTCTGTTTCCAAGTGTTCTTAGCAGTGAAAGCATACTCTCCAAGAGCAACATAAAGATAAAAACAAAGTAGCCGCCACGGTCAACGCACGTCGCAAGGGTGGGATACTTGCTCGCAAGATGATTCATCAAGTTGAAGAGGGACGTCTATCCCTCGCTTTTTGATAACTTGGAGGAAGCTCCGCCGCAGGGCAGTGCTGTGCATTTCTGCCAGGTGAACTACAAGGGCGAGTCCCGACAGATGTCTGCCATTCAGGATGGGAGCTGACCATGGGATAGGAAGTCCTTGGCTTTAGCAGGTTTGTCATTTATACAAAATCAGACAGCTGTTGTGACTGGCAAATGCTGAACACAGCAATCCCGCAGGCAAGGGGCACGGAAGCAACATTCTGGCCAATGCCCCCCTCCTTTTCATTCTGGTGAGCGCTCCATTGGATCTATCGCTTCGGGTTGCAAGTTGTCCGACTTCAGGTTCGCGAAGAGAAACAAGGCAGAGGTTGAAGCAGCCCATAAAACATGAGCACTGCGCGAGGCCTCTGTTTTTGGATTCAATTCCGAACCAACGGCGCCCTCGCAATGCAACCATGGGCTATGTATGGTGAAACCCGCTGCGAAACGGGTAAACCCTGCGAAAACCCTTGGGAATCCGCGGCTTTTTCCCCGAGATCACCGGCATGTTCTTGACGAAGCTGCGGGATGTCACTGAGAAGTGGACCGGCTCCAAGGCAGCGATCGGCGCTTGTTTTGGCAGGGTCAAGACAGGGGGACTCGTGGCTTTTGGTTGAGTGACTGCAATCCAGCGCGCGCAAGGCAAAAGGTCGCGTTCAAGCTCTTCTACTACCGGTGTGGTGAAACCATGTTGACACCTCTTTTCTTGCCATGATGAAAGATGGAGTAAGCGGTCATATTGTGTTGGCTCCATCTCTGTCAGGTGCTGGACAGCGTGGTTTGCCTGGACGCAAAAATGAATCAAGCAACGCACAATACTGGTGATAGTCTACCTTTGGTTGAGGGAGGACATGTGGGGACGAGCCACAAAGACTACACTAAAGCAACAGCCCAATTTGCCCATGTGTCCTTGAACAAACAATGTCGTCCTTGGACCATATGATTGCGGACTGAGCATGTGCCACGGTGGCTGTGCCACGATCTTGTTTGAGCTTCAGACCGCAGGTTGCATGCTCGAATAGGCTGCAGATGATAAGCAGATTCGCCCCATGCCACATCATCT